TGGAACGTTTGGGTTAAGATGTAGGATACATACATTTTCAGATTTTAGGATAAGTAGTAACTATGATATACCCCCAGAGGGGTCCAAGGGTGGCATCCTGTAATCAAAACATATTTCTGCAACAAAACATATGAATGCTCACATTTAAGGAAAGAAGCAAAAAATACAAATTGGTTTTGCTGCCAATTGAATATCAGGTTTTGTTGCCAAAATGAATTTTTAAAAGCTTTGGTTAATTTTTACAGCCTTCAAGATTTCATAATTATAAAATTTTCTTTCCTTCTAATTACAGAGACATTCTGTATGATAAACTTAAGGCAAGTTAAGTGGCAGAACCAAGTCCAAAGTCCAAATCTTTACTAAGTCTAGGTTCCATGGTTTTTAAACATTTTAAGTAGCTCATACAGTAATTTTATGACATGGCCAAAATAGGAAAAGTCTCAAATCAGACGGCCAATGTTTAAAGCTGTAAAAATATTTTAAATTAAAACAAACAAACAAACAAAAAACCCCAATCATTAAGAAAGCATTTCAAGGAACTTCCCTGGTGGTCCAGTGAAGTGTCTGTCTTGCAGACAACCTGGGGACACCAGGTTGATCCCTGGTTGGGGAACTAAGATCCCAATGCTGCAGGGCTACTAACACCTCATGTTCTGAGCCCTCATGCCTAGTCGGGTCCCACACAACTAAGATCGACTCAGCCAAATTAAGTAAAATAGAGAAAGAAAGCATTTCAAGATTCTGGAACCTCTGAAGGGATCCCGTCTCAAGTGTCACTCAAAATACATTAGGGGCCTAAGTACTGGTTGGTAGACAACTTTAGTAGAAGTAATAATTCACTACTTCAAATATGACTCATTAGGGTATCTTAAAGACATAGTTTGAGCATTCTTCTCTCAAAATTGTTTTTTATACATTTGAATTATATGCTTTTCAATCAAAACCCAATTACACAAATTGAAGATGTTAAAGCTTAAACCTGATTTCAACTCTACTTGTAAGGATCAATAAAAATTCACAAATGCCACAAAACAAAAGTACAGATGAGAGAAAGGAGCTTTTAGATTGTTTACAAACTCTAAATTATATCGTTTGATCAAATAAAACCACTGTGCATCTGAATATTTGTCCATCATTATGAAAAATTCAATCTATATGAAATTTTACCAGCTTTTATTAAAGACAAAAATCAATTTTATAACCTACTGCAGTATTTACTAGAAAATGCTTTTCAGAAAACTGTCTTGATGTCAATTATATAAAACCCCACTGGAGGAATTCCTTTCAGAATTCAGTACCAGAAAGTTTGTCATCCTGTAGAACCACCGTTTCCTCATTCTGAAGGGCTGCTTATTACCTTAGAGCCAATAAAAAGCTTAATTAGGCTAACCATATTAATACTCTTGACTAGCTCATTTTATTATTGCTAAAAATTTTATTTGCATTTTTTTTCTTGTCAGAAATTTCAAAATCTTACTGAATGCATAGACATACAAATGTATTACAGGAAGAGTACAGTTATTTACAATGGCTGCAACTTTCTAGTGTGACTGGCATAAACAATACAAAATACAGATTCAGAAAGCCCACGTTCCATGAGTCCAGAGTAGATAAAAAATGGGATTAACACCTGACTTGTTCCAACAGTATAGATGAAAACACTGTGTAAAACAATTAAGGCACTGGTTACTTTTGCCACTATACAATTTAATTTCTAATCTGAGGTTTACATGTACAAATCAAAAATGATTTTAAGGGAATCCCAGCAGAGTCAGCTAATAGGTATACTAGCCTAAGATTTTTAAAGAAATACCATTATGAATATAACCTCTGATAAACCCTATCTCAGTATCTTACATTTCTTTATGAAGCACCCAAATACCACCTTCAATAGTATATGGCAAGAAGACAACATTATTTATAGCCTACAATCAGTAGGCTTAAGAATCTGGGAAATCACAGCTCCTACAAGAGACTCACAAATCCAAACACATCAAGCACTGCTTGTAGACTAAATGCATAATTCACCATGACTTTTCAGATGATTAGGTATAAAGAAGTCTAAATTAAACATTTAAAAGCATTACATCACTGTAAGTTTTCATTGTCTTTTTCAATAAATAAAAATGAAAGTTTAACCAGTAATGTGGACTTCTACAAGTTTTAAATGAGCCTCAATTTTTTAAAACACTGGGTCACTAGTTTATAAATTGCCAAGGTTTTAATGTTGGGCAGTCCTAAAGATGGAACCTGCCTCTATTTTTAGTAACTGAAAGACCTTGGTAAATACAGACCCACTATGTTCTTTCTTTATTGCTCAGAATCTGCCTGGAGAGTTCTAGTCAATTCTGTGCACCAACAAACTGCCTATGACTGTTAAGAAAGTGGTAAAAAGGGTTTGGAATTCACAAGGCGGGAGGGAGACAGCACTTAGCCTAAAAGAAGGGGACGTCAGGGGAAATTTTTAAATGTTAATACCTGAAAGGTTATCAGGTATCAGAGATTAGAGGTTAGACTCAGATTATACTACTAAAAATGGCAGAATTAGGAAGTTAAAGAGAAGCAAATTCTAGCTGAATATAAGGTAACTTCCTTATAATCATACTCATCCTACGTGAAAACAAATGGTCGAGCTGAGGCTATTAGACCACCTATCAAGAATCTGGTACTCAGCACACGGCACTGGAAAACTGATTTCAAAACAATCTTAATCATTAAGGGGGACTAAGATGACCACAAAAGCTATGCTTTTATATTTTGTCATTTTTCAAAATAACCCTATAAAAGTAGCATAGTCTAAGAAGGAGGAAATTGGAGGCCAGCGTTTAGCTTAATTTGGTTATGGTAACATAGTTAAATAGCAGAACTCATTTACAAAACCTGATTCAATTTGGGCTCTTTCCTCTATCAGTGACTCACAGCACCATCACCTGTACAGCTGACAAAAATTTCAACTACCAGGCCACATCCCAGACCAATAAACCAAAATCCCTGGCAGGGACAGTCAGGCATCATGATGGCTAAAGTTCCCAAGCAATGCCAACATGCAGCCATGATTAAGACCCACTGCTCTACACCAAGGGCTGGCAATAAAGCTTTACCTAAACACACTCCTGTTCATGGGTTTACATACTTTCTATGACTCCTTTCACACTACACGGACAGTTAAGTAACTGACTTCACGACCAACAAACCCCAAAATATTTACTGCTTGGGCCTTTACAGTAAAAATTTCCTAGCTCTGTATCATATCATGTTCTAGCTCTTATAGGATTTTCTGCCACTGAATGAAGGTAGATTCAGAGGCACCAAAAACTTTAAACTTTTGTTAAAACTTTAACAGCAGGAATGTAGCACATCACTGATATAATCAAATTTCAGTTAAGCAAGGTTCATCAGATATTAAGGTGGCATCAATGAGACAACAGAATTATCTTTTATAAGCTATCAAAGATAAAAGCATATTAGACTACCAAAAATTATGACAGATCTAGTGCATTGATAAAACCTCAGCTAGGAGTTGCTTGCTAAGATGATAATCACCAGTAATGTTCTTTTTTAAAGTATTCACTGTGGTTCTAATTAATACTGCTTTTCTTCTCTTTGAATCATTCCAATTATGTGTGGCATTAGTTTTAAGAATGAGGTTAGCACTACCATGCAAAAAAATCTTACTCCTCATATTCCATGCACCTATATATATATTTTTAAAATATACTATAGGTCTCCCACCATACTGTTAACTGAGTAATTCATGCAGTAGAAAAAAAAAAATGCAGTTCTGAGAACTGATTCAGTATCTTCTACATTAAAAATTAAGCCAAAACAAAGTGCTGCTAAGTCTATCATTAATACTTTTAAAGAAACCATCTTTGGGATTTTATTGCTAAAAACTTGACAAGTTGGAGGGGAAAGCTCAGCAAACAGTATTCATTATACATGTATACTGATTTACACATGATTTCTACCAACGAAAACTAAACCCAAACCTAAACAGCCAGGGAAATCATTTCACAGGATTATGGCATTTTGCCCTTTGGGAACTAAAAACAATGATTCTTTTAAACAGAAGGCACTCCATCCCCAGGTGATCACCATCACATAAATCAGACACTGAACAATTACAGATCTCTGAGGCAACACAAGCACTAAATGACACTAAATGATATATGACAGTGGTGGACATGGTCAAATCTGGGGTCCACAAAGGAAAACCTCAAACCCACTGGATTACTTCAAATAAAAGTAAGTTACACACAGACAATTATGTTAAAGTTTCAAATCTATTTTTACTCTTCAACAATGGTCTGCCTCACTTCATTAAAAAAAAAAAACAACTACAAGATGTGATATGTAAAGGTTCTTATAGTCAAGAGAAAGGACTCAGAGGCCTCTCTTACTTCACTAATGCAAATGAGAATGAAAATGAGGAAACAGTGGGACAAACTTAAAACATTCCAGTTTCTTTAAGATTTATGGGGAGAACAGAACAGTGAGTGGTTCTAAACAAAGTAGAATCCCATTAACTTTTGCAAAATTCTGTAAGACAAATATTTAACTACAAAAAATTGAGAGTAAAGAATGCGAACTAAATCTCAAAAACATTCTGAAATGACAAACGAATCACATATTACAACCAAAGATTTTATCTTTTACAGCACTGGGTACAGAAAGTGAGCAGAGGCTACAGACCAGGAAAATCAAAGAACTACACATAGAGTCCACATGCCATAAAATATGGGCAAATTCCTGATTAGTTAACACAACCTTTGAGAAACCCACAACATACATGTATAGAGAAAAAACTAAGATATACCAAATCTTACATTTGATACAAGATTATATAAGATATGTGATTGAGTCATTTTTTCCCTTCTATTACAAAGATTCAAATTTACTATTTCTTATGTACATGACTTTAATAATACACACAAGATTATACCCAAACAAATGAGAATAAAAACTGACAAACCTCTGTATATATTCAATATAGTATTTACCTGGTTCTTCCTTGATGAATGACAAATCTTCCTCTGGATAGGCAACAGGTGGCTGCATCACCGAGCAATCTTCTAAATTTGTTTCATTATTAGGTGGTATATTATAAACAAATCTCTTTGTAGCTTGGGTTTTTCTCCTTGTTTTGCCAGTCTCTTGAATCCCCTGGGAGCCCATATTATTCCAAATGAACACTTTTGTTTGGCCTTGAGACTCATTTTCTGTCAATTCAGGTGAACCATCCTGGACCCAACTACTGTCATTCGTTTGGTAGTTTTCTATTTGGCCCTCGTCGACATTACAACCATCATTTTCAATTTTTACGTTACTTGCCAAATTGGTAAGATTTCGTGTTGCCCAAAAACTGGCAATTTTTTGATCCCGTGATGAAGACAGGCCATCTCTGTTAACTGGTTTTCTATTATTATAGTCCACAACTACAGACTCTGGAGCTTCTGATTTAATGCTTATATTTAAGGCATCTTTAATGAAATTTCGGCAAGTTTGAACAACTTCACTCATTTGAAGATAGCTGGCCACTGTCATTACTTCAATGGCATTTTGGCTTGTGAGCACCAGGTTACCAGAATACAAGAAGTCCAAGATGACTGAAAAACCTTGAACTGCAGCAATATCTAAATGGGTAGTATTGTTTTGGTTAGGGCTTTCTTTGTTTGAAAAGCAATATAAAGTCTTAAAGAAACGGCTGCCTGCAACCAGGATGTTCTTATGAGCTTTAAAGATTTTTCCGCTCACCACGATGCTGACATCACAAAGAATACCTTTCTTCCTCTGTTCATTTAGTTGTCGAAGAAGTTGATAGCAATAAGAGTTCTCATTTGGCCTACTATTAAAGTCACAGTATCCCTCCTCTGATGGTATTTCTGACTCCTGCAATAGATGGAAAACATTAACATTAAATTTTATTTACTTTTTAAAGCCTCCATATCAACGACAATAAATCATCGTCAATGTAACTTTTTAAAAGCACTATCAAATACACTAATCTATTAGTAATCATTACATATTTTGAGACTGAGGTGTTAACAATCTAAATATTAAGAGAAAGGGTGTAAACAGCTTGCTGCAATCCACTATCATTAAAAAAAAAAAAAGAAACATCCTGAGGACTAGAATTTCATTTAAAGAATACTATGTATCACATATCATGCTCTTTCCAAATATAGCTGAAGACACGATTGACAATTATTCAAAATTAAAACAGGGAATTCCCTGGTGGTCCAGTGGTTAGGACTCCACCGCCATTGCCTGATTTCAATCCCTGGTCAGGGAACTGAGATCCAACAAGTCAAGTGATCAAATTAATCTGCCTTATCTCTGTAACTGCTAATAACACAGTAGTTTTTCTGGTTGAACTTAAAATATTTCAATTAAAATATGCTCAGCATCGCATTCTATTTAACATTATAAAAAAAGTGAATTTTAAAAGTCTTGGCAAATACTGAGTCGGACCATTTAGGTCAACAAAGTTAATCATATCTAACTATGCAGTCCATGGGGTCGCAAAGTTGGACATGACTGAGCGACTGAACTGAAAGAGAAAGTAAGGTAAAACCCTAATTTAAAAAAGGGCGCTTCAAACTACAGGAATACCCAGTTATATAAATCCCCAATCAATTTTCAAAATGACTTCTCTCTTTAGGATCATAAATACCACCCATCAGGGAAAATTCCTGAACTCAAAATACTTAATGTTTATAATCTTCCCTCTTATCAATCTTTTAATTACTCATTACAGTTCAGTTTAGCATCACTACGTTACCGTAATTTCCTGTATTGACAGCAAGAATAAAGGAATGTGATCTAGATTTTGGAATGCTGCCTACATTAGTTATTAACTGTGTGTCCTTTCTTAAACTAATAAAGGAGTAAGTACTAGGAGTGTTTCTAAATAAGAACTTCAGGCCCTACTCACAGAGTCACTAGGTGGGTGGTGGTGGTGGTTTGGTCGCTAAGTCGTGTCTGACTCTTGTAACCCCATTGATTGTAGGCCGCCAAGCTCCTCTGTCCATGGGATTCTCCAGGCAAGGATACTGGAGTGGGTTGCCATTTCCTTCTCCAGGCACTAGGTGGATAAGCTCCCTAAGTTAGGCAGGTGTCTATTATTAAGTGTTAAAGATTCATTATTTTCTTTGGCACAAAATATTAAATACAAGTTGATACTATAAAATAATAAGACACATATATACAGGTCTATGGAGTAGACAGAGTCTGGGAAAAACACAGAAAAGATACATACTGCATTGTTGGATGCTGGGAGGACTGATATGCCTGGAGAGGAACAGACAATGGGGGGCAGGGAAAAGGGCGTAGGGAACAAAGTTGTTAGGACTGCAAAAAGATTCTCATAGAATATTGCAAATGGTGGTGAGATTCCAAGCAATCCCACATCTCCATTCAACCCCACCATATGTGCTGTTCTGTGCTCAGGTTCTTCAGCTGTGTCAACTCTCTCCATGTCCACCTCTTTTCTACCTTATGGACTGGGTAGCCCACCTGGCTCCCTTGTCCATGGGATTCTCCAGGCAAGAATACTGGAGTGGGTTGCCATGCCTTCCTCCAGGGGATCTTCCTGACCCACGGATTGAACCTGGGTCTCCTGCACTACAGGCAGATTCTTTACCACTAGCATCACCTGGGAAGCAACCTCATCATGGGTATAGCTTAATCCCACAAACATTAAGTTCCATTCTGAATTCTGAATACAGTGGGTCAGGCATATATAATCCTGAAACTAAACCAGATCACATGATCCATCTAAGAATTTTTCTGCTGTTTCCAGGTATGAGAAGTCAACTGAAACAGAATAAAAATGCCAGAATTCCAGGACACATCAGTATTTCACAGCAATAATGAAACAGAGATAATCCTGCAAATATGGAGTATATGGTCACTATAGAATGAAGCACAGGAAGCAGAGAGAATTCCCTTTGCACTTCCAACTGACACTTGGCAGCATCCCTATTGCCTCCCAGGGGAGTGCATCATTAATCACATTTATACTCTAACCCCACCCCCACATTCTTGCTCTATCATACCAAAATGGCCCATATTCTAAATCAGTTATTTTCTCCTCCTATTAAAGACACCCAATCGTAAGCAAAAACTGCTAACAGCCACAGATGAAGTAATCAAGTAATTCACGATTAAATTTTTGCTTCTGGGGGCTGGAAGAAAGTGAGGTAAAAAGATATTTTATACCTTGTATATAAAACCAGTATGCTGTGAAGTTTCCAACTACTTAGTAAAGGGATGGGAAATGTTTAGGACTCTATATATAAAGAACTAAATGAATACTAAAAATGTCCAAAGTTGTTACTGCTATAATTTTCTATAGACTCATCATACTGTTTATGAGGCTATCTAAGTAAGACTTTTTATTATTAATTTGCTTATGCTCTCTACTGACTACAGAAAATTTCCAAACTACATTGCTCTATGATGCAGGCTTAAAAGTAAGCTTTGCTGTGCATGTCATACCTGCCCAGCAAAGCTCATTTGGTTCAAAGTTCTAACAGATGCTGTAGTAACAATAAGAGCAAAAAATTTGGCAGCACATTGTAAAGTGTCTGTGGAAGCACTGAATTAGCCTTTACAAGTCAAGAAAAGTGCTTTAAGTTTATGCATTAAGCAGTTCAAAACACTTTAAGAAGGAAGTGGCCATGTCATAGCAGTCATTTTAGGCCATGGTCACTGTGTTCTGAAATTTCTGGGCCAGGCCCAATTTCTGTAATTCTCTGCCATTATCACACCAAATGTCCTAATTTTTAAAAATAACTTAAAGAGAAAAGCCTATCCACCAAAATATTTGTCCATTCCACTTTTGACACAAGCTATACAAGCCAAACAAACTATTCAACAACTGTTTTTCTTCATTACTACTGAAACAGAATAGTAATGTTACACGCTACAACAGCCCCAGCAGTTTCTCCTTCAGGACTGATCACAGCACTGTGCCATGTTTCTGTAGCACATGTTATATATGCTCTCCACAAGGAAGAGTTTACCAGTCAAGAGAACATGTACTCTACAAGGGAAGTATTATTTGAGGATATGGGTAAAATAAAGCAGGATAAGCACTAAAATAAACTGCCAATATTACTTGCTAAACCAAATAAATTCCTAATAACTAAAGAGAAAAATAACGGTAGGTCCCTAAGAACAAGTCATCTCTGTCTCTCCAGTTCCCTCTTTAACATTCTATGTCCATTCTTACTATATTGATAAACATGAGATACCACTGATAAAAATACACTGATAAAAAGGTTTAAGTATTTCCAGAACTGATTTTTTTAAAGACTAGTTGGAAAAATTTCTATTCCCTTTCCCAAAAAGGAAAACACAACTTAGCCAAGCATTAGTCTAAACTAGATAAACAAGGAGAGACTAAGGAAACAGACATTCAGATTAAAAAAAAAAAAAAAAAGACAATGTGTTACACCAGAGATTCTATAAATATGAAAAGTCTCCTGTTATTTTTATCTGTGGAGATGCCCATAAGTAAAATTATTTTTAGAGACCTTAATTAACTCTTCCAAAATTAAGAAAATATAGAAGTATACATTTGGTTAAAATCCTGAGTTTACTATCTTCAAATTTATTTCCAGAGAGGCCAAAAGTAAGTATTTTAATCAGAGAAAAAGCTGCTAAAAGCTTGAAAAATCTTGACTTTACTCACTTATTTAATAAGCATTAAATGAATGTCTGTATCAGACAGGTTCTATACTGAGAACCCAAAATGATTTTGTTCTCAGCCTGAAGCTATTACTACTGAGCAGGATTCTTAAGATACTGAAGAGTATAACAAGAGCTTTAAGAGAGCAAAGAGGTGGTGCACCTAACCCAGTTTTTGGAGGGGTTTGGGTGAGATCTTTTTTTGAAACAAAGATCTGAGCAGAGCCTTGAAAGATGCAAGAGTGGAACGAGAGGATGAGATTCTAAGCAAATCAGACAGCATGAGAAAAAACCAAGGATGTCTACAGCATCCTCACAATTCTAGATTTATGAAGAACTTCAAGGTGATCCAAAAAAGCCCAAGAAATGCAAATATGCTCTTAATGTTTTTGGAGCTAAGTGTCTATAACTTGCACCAGATTATCTGAAAGATCTGAATCCTGCACAAGATTAAAGACCAAGGGTATAGGTGCCTACAGAGCTTTAGAATGATCTGACTGAATTAACTGATAAAGAGATGACTGTGGTAGCAAAGTGGAGGATAATTACTAGGGAATGACACTGGAAATACTGTGACCAGGGCAAGCCACTGTTAAGTGTGCAGCATACCTACAACAAACAAGGACCTTAACTGGGTAAGACGGATAACAGTAATGGGGGGAGGGGAAGTGAGGCAGAGCCCAGAAAAATTTTTAAAGTAAAATCCAAACTTGAGTGATTAATTAGATTTCAAGGCAGAGGTGTGGAGGGAGATCATAGGGTGTTCACAGCATTCCAGCTGGGAGAACTGGATAACACCTGCTACTGTAGAGAACCCAAGATCACACTACCCAGTCTCCCCATTCTTCTGAGAGAGGCGGGGGAGAGAGAAATTCAGCTGCAGTTAGCTATCTGTAGTCAATTCACAAATGATTAGAAAATGTTACTGGCTAATCAAGTACTTATTATTTACTTCCCTACCCAGAATTCCAGTCCCCTTTTGATGAATGGATAAGTAGGAAAAAAGATATTTCAAACATAAAGTGTAAAATAAAAGCATTAAAAACATAAAAATCTTTTGTTGCAGCAACCCACTGGAATGGTATACTAAAAGAATAAAAATATCAATGTCCATTTACAAATCCAAATTCTAAAACTCAAACTCCATTTCTAGTATGAGGAAAAACAAGGCCATAGTGAGCATGATGCAAAATAAATGCCTGCCAGTAGTACTGACAAATTATGTAAGTCAGTAGATAATGAAAGGAATATCTCCTTTGAAATCAATATCTCTTCTCTTGAGTGATGACATTTTCTCTTGCAATTTAACTATTAATACTATCCCCAGAAATTGTAGATCTATAGGCCTGGGATTGTAGATGTCTTCAGGTGATTACAACTTCCAGCCAATTTTATGTGCCAAAAATATGCTTTATTACCAGCTCTCCTCAAAAACCACATACATACCAACAGGTGCTTCTACACATCAACTTACACATATTTCATTGTGGTTCTCCTCTCCTTAAAACTGCTAAATGGTTTGCCCAACAGAAAAAATACAATCATTTCAACATGAAAGGATCATCCATAACCTGCAGTCTACTCACTTAAACTTAATTTTTCATCCTGCTGAATTAAATCATCTACTTATCAGACACATCAAGGCATCAATTTCCATTACGCTCAAGCTGTTTCCAACTGCAATGCCTAGAATGCCCTCCCCTCCTCAACACTTACTCATTTAACACAAGTTAGGAGCCAATTCTACAAGCTTCTCCCAACCTTCACAAATAGAATGACTTCCTTTAGCATCTTAACTGTAACTTGAATATATTTCTAACATGGTAGCTATCATTTTACTGCAATGTCTCTCTCTCCTTACTAGAATACAAGTTTCTTGAGGTCAGAAAAATGTCTTATTTACATAGGTTTATCTTCAGTGCCTTGGAATCTCCCTAACAGGTTTATTTTAAGAGAAAGAAGTCCCTAGACACATTATAAAGCAGAGTCAAAAACACAAGAGAAAAGGAATCAGTTTTTACAAACACAATGAATGACTGCTAGAACCTATATAAATATTATACAAATTGGTTATTCAATGGACTGTAGGCTCCGTGGTTGTCTGTAATATCTATTTCTCCTTCCCAGTGAAAGGTTTTCATTCTTTCTTTCAAAATCTTTAAAAAGCAATTTAATTTTTGCCAAATGCAAAGAAGTCTGGGAGCGCTGTCTCACCTTTGCTTTTGCTGCTCACCAACATATTCCAATTAGTAATTTTAATCAGATCACTGATCTGAATTAAGTATTTACTTTCTGGAAAGGTTAACTAAGTTTATAACAATAACACACTTGAACACGTTTTAGGCTTACTAAACTGGAAAGAGTTGACAGAATGTGTGATTTAGGCAATGAAAATTTCCCAACTGGGTAAAAGTGATCTGAACCAAGATACAGTGGTAATCCGTGTTATTAAAGCAATTTTAAAGTCCTCTGGGCCAGACGGTCAAATCTTATATAAGCTAATCACCGAACCAGATATATATAGTCAGTTGTTACTCAAAATAGAAATTATATGTTGTCCCTTAAATCCTTATAAATTAAAAGGATTTTTCAGAAATAGAACGCTACAGAACAGATTCTGAGAGCATCTGTAGACTCTTGCATGAGCAATCCTTAACAATCAACATCAAAATAACAGAACATCAAAGGTTTTAAGAATGGGCCACTGGGAATTCCCTGGCAGTCCAGTGGTTACTTCCACTGCAGGGGACACAGGTTCCATCACTAGTCAGGGATCCCAACCACAAGTAGTAAGGCAGCCCTCCCCCCCCCCCCCCCCCCCGCAAATATGCCAGTCTCTTGGCCACCACCATGATTTTTCCCTTACAGAAATCGTAAGAAAAAGTAAAATAACCCTTATTCACATACTAAGATTTGGCTAAACTCCTCACAAAAAACAGACTCCTTAAAATTAAAGGAAAAAAGTGGGGAGGGGGAATAAAGGGAATGAACTAAGTCCCAACTTCAAACTTAATTCTTGCCTGAGAACTACAAAACTATTTCAGTAATTTTAAGGCAGGAGAAAGCTCATGCAAGATACTCTTCATGAAGATGAGAACAACTGCAAGTGCGATGAGAATGTTCAAAGAACCTGAATGGCCAAAGTCTCTAAAAGCATGGAAAACACTGGTTTGTTCTCTAGAATCAAGAATGATTCCATGAGATTAAGTGGCTTGCAAACTGAGAAAATTGGTAACATTGAGACATGAGGGACCAGCTACCCCTACCGCAGAGTTAGTTATTTCCAAAGAAAATAAGTAATGGTGATAATAAATAATGGTTATCATTTACTAAGTGACTAGGTGCTGGCATATACACTTTGCATACATGACTGGAAATTAACTCATCTGCCTGTCAAGAAAGAGAATTAGGACTCAGGTCCCCCTACTTTTAAGCTCAAGAATGCTCTTACAGACTGTGTTATACTGCCTCCTGCAGGTAATCAAAAGCTGCAGGGCAATGTAAAAAAAATGATTAACTGTGCATAGGAAGAAATAAGTCAGTTCTTGAACCTGTCACTCATGTATTAACAAGACAAAAAGATCCGATAGGTGGTACCTGGGGTCAATTACAAGGTAATACCCCAAACTAAGCTTAGAATGAAAATAGAAATGATTAGAATCACTTCAGAGTGGAACTGATGGAAACATCCAAAATCCAATCAAGGGAACCAATAAATAGCCTTAGACAAACAGGAATGACTTACTAAATTGTATTATTCTCAGTCTAATGAAATAATGTCCTAAGAGAAAGAAGTTGGTCAGCAGATTATGTTGTAAAAAGGGAGTTTCAAGGGGGCAAAGGGTAAGGGAGGGATAATTCAGGGATTAAGTTTAGAAAAGGTTTTACCTAGGGATGAATTCCCTAATCCAGATATATGCCTAGCGGAGAGGAATACACCATGCTAAGGCTATCATAAGGTTATCCAACTAATTCGCCCTTCCTCTGATTCCAGGTTCACTGAGCAGCTAATTGTAATAATCTGCACTCCCACTCACATCTGCCTACATAGACTACAGTGAAGAAGAGTAACTGGTCCACCAAATTAAGAAAACTCAGTTCGATTGTCGTTTTAGATTTTTCTAAATAACCAACTCATCACTTAGAAAAGCATACTTTCATTTTCACAAGCCCTCCACCTCATCACACTACTTAACTTCAGGAATATATACTGCGTTGAAGCCTCTAGACTTCTCTTCTGTAAAATGGGAACAGAATAATTACTTGCCAAAATAAGGGACATCTGTGTTTGGCATACAGAAGACAAGTCTGGCACTCCAATGCCCAAGCTCACAAAGCTAGTAATTGCAGAAAGCTGAGATGTGAACCTAGATTTACTCCAAAATCTTTTTTTCCTTCCTCCATTGCAACATTCCTTATAAAGGCTAGTCTCATTTATAACCAAGTACTGTAAGACTTGGGACAATTTACTTAACCTTTCCGGGCCTTACATCTTTAAATGACCTTCCTTGTAGGGCTTAGGCAACTAAAAGTTGTGCAAAAACTGTTACCATTGCCCACCTGAGATAAACAACCCTATGCTTTAACGTTAAAGTCTCAACTTCTGAGAAATTTCTGGGCTATGGGGTTATTAGGTAGTGCCTAATTAACTCCACTAAAAGTGTTCTAAACAGCAAGATCACTCCAACACACAAAGGGACTAGTATCTGAAAGGTGACTTTCTGAAATCAACGCCTGGCTACCGATACAAAAGAATGAATTCCAACCACAACCACAGGTTGTCTTAAGAGGACTGATTAACATCTGCTTGGCTTGAAAAGAGATTATCAAAATGATAAGACTATTATCTTTAGTCCAGAAATATTAAGACAAGATCTAAGAAGAACTGAAGTACCGTTTACCTGTTTTATAATTAAGAACTTATGATTTTGGTAAATACATTCTCTACCAGTTCGAATCAACTAGTTGGTAGAAATAACTTTACATTCAGCATTTCAAATATCCTAAGTTTAAAGTAAACCACATTTATATGAAAACTTTTTGAAAAAGGGGATTAAAGAAAATCTCAGCACAGAAATCTGGAGAGAAGGAAGCAAGTAAAAACTACCACAATTTACCAAAAGCATACCTTTGGAAAGAGAAGTTCAACAAAAAGTTTAACGAGATGAATTTAGTATAATCATTCACGAAGTCTTATCCAAAGAGTTTCCTCTACATTTACATACTACTCTCACATTTCACGTTATTCTGACATGATAAAAAGAATTTTCTCGGTTGGATGTTCTCCTAAAAGGGGTAGCGTCAAAGGTTAAGGCAAGAGTTTAATTCTTCAGAGTTACCAGATTTGACTTCCAACACCACGTTAAAAGACTACCAACATTAAAGCAGCTTTTCTAAAATCACAGCTAATACCATTCTAACCACAAAGCCAACCTTACAGGGTTAAAACCTTCCATCTCGCTTATTAAACTTTCCTTCTGATTCAGTCTGACGGGCAAAGAAATCTGAGTCATGAAAAAAATTAAATCAAATTCAGCGCTACGATTAGAAAATTGTCATTCCTTCCCCTCCCCCCAACTCCCCCGGTTAACTTTCGAAAACTTATTCCCAGGCTTTCGAACCCCCCACGCCTAAGCTCCCTACACCTCTCTCCCAACAGGAAAGATGTCTTCACCCAGGAGAGAGAGTTTTAACTGATAAACCTTTCCCCCAAAGATCTGAAAAAGCAGGAGCAACATATATCGTACCTGGGCGTTGGCTTCGTGGAGTTTGTGCTCGGTAGAGACGTGGTGCCTCAGAAGGAGGGTTTTCTTGTAGTTGCGGGTCCCTCGCGAAAGCTCGTCGTGCCCCACTGGGGGCAGATCCCCGCTTCCTCCGTCCTCGGGGGGCTTTTGGCACCAGCCGCAAGACATAAGGCCAGTATCCTTGGAATAGCGCAGCCAGGGAAAATCTTTGAGCCAGGAGGTCTGGAAGGAGCAGTGGAGCTTCTGCATTAGGGACTTGGGCCGCGCGAGCGGGAAGTGCTGGACAGTCTCTCCTTCTCCAGCTCCCACACCGCTGCCCTCCGCTTCGTCCCCGCCATCGCCGCCCGACCGCCTGCTGCTGCCGCAGCTGCCTCCTTCCGCCCCGCTGCCGTCGCCCAGGCTCGCCCCCTCCTCTTCGTCTTCGGTGCTGTCGCTCAGGGACGCGCCGTCCGGCATCAACTCCTTCCCCTCCAGCGCGTCCAGCTCCAGCTCCACGGCCGCCGGCCCTCGCCCATTGAAATGCCTCAGGGGCCACGCCGAGGTCTCGGGGCGGCCGCGGCTACTGCCATTGTTGCCGAGCCCCCCGCCGCCGCCGCCGCCTCGAAAGGCCAGAGTCCGACGGTTCCTTTCCGCTAGCAGGGGGCCCCCGGCGCCACCGCCGCCCAGCGAGGTGGGGCCGCCCGCGTCTTGGGGGAGCAGCAACTCCTTGGTTTCCTCGGCGGAGGCCTCCAGGTCTTGGGTCTCCAGGCCCTCCAATTCCACTTCCTCGTCGGCCCCCCGCCCATTGAGCGGCTGCGGCGCTGGCGGCGGGGGCTGTCTTGGCTGGGGCTGCTGGGGCCAAGCCGAGGCCTCCCCGCCAACGTTATTGTTCGCGGAGCCGCCGCCGCCGCCGCTGGCGGTGACCAACCCGCCTCCTCGGAACGCCAGCGTCCTGCGGTTCATTTCACTGAACGACATGGCGCGCGCCGCCGCCGCCGCCGCCCGGTGCCCCGGCTCGCGCCCGGCCTCGGGCCGCGTCCCGCGCGCTCCCCGCCGCTCCCCCTCCGCTTCGCTCCCGCCCCCACCGCGGGCGTTCCGGTCTCGCGGGGCTCGGCCTCGCCCTCCCGCCCGGACGCCCGGCTCGCGCTTGCTCCCCGGGGCTGCCTCACGCGTCCGCCGCCGCCGCCCGCCGGGCCGCCGCCTCCGGCCGCCTCCTCGTCCTCCACCCCCGCCCCGCGGCGCTCCGGGCAGCGTCCCGCGCGGAGAAGGGGGGGGCGGGCGGCGGAGAGGTGAGCAGCGAGCCGGCGCGCGTGGGGCCTTCGAAGTTGAGAGGCGGAGTGCGGGGACACCCTCCGCTGCCCCCTCTTTAAAGCCGCGCGCACACACCGACCCTCCAAACAAGATATCCTTCCTCCGGCGCGCCGAGGAGTCCCGACGCGGCTGCCGGCTTCCGAAGCGCTGAGGGCGAGAGGCACGTTAAACTGCCGGGCTCCGCCACATAACGAACCGACAATAAAGCCGGCGGAGCGTTTCCGTCCGACCAGGCCCTGGCGGAGGTCGAATGGCAAATGAACAACGGACCGTGCGCCCACAATGCACCGGGGTAGCAGTAACCGCTGGAGGGGGAAAGGGTGGGGGCCGGGCGGGGGGAGGGGGCTGGGCTTGGGGCTGGGCTGGGGTGGGGTGGGGGCGCCTGGGGACCGGGAAAGGGGCCGGGCCGCGCCTCCGGCCTGGGGGCGGGGGTGCGGCCGCGGGGGAAGGAAGTCGGCCGAGGGGCGGGGGACAAAAGGCCGGGCGGCGGGCTGGGGGGTCTCGGGGAGGGGGCGGGCGTGTGCGGCCGGGGCCGGGCTCCGCGGAGGACAAACAGCTGGCGAATGTCAGGTCTGGCCGCCTCCCCGCTGCCCGCACGCACCTACCCGCGCCCGGGACGCACATTTTCCTTCCCTCGCCACGAGTTCACCTGGGACTTTGAGAAATAACTGTGCGGTGGGAGCTGCGCTCCAGCCTTGTCATTTGCTGAGGTGGGGTGGGTGGGGGTGGGGGGTAACGGTGCCCGAGGAAGTGAACTTATTTTTGTTCCTTCACAAAGACTGGACCAGGCTGTACCTTTCGCGCGAGGAGGTTACAACCGCGGGCACCTTCTCGTCTGCTGCATTGTGTATTCGATGCAGCACCTCTGGGCGATAATCATTTCACAGAAAATGCACCGCCCCGAGTGTCTTATTGCTGTGATGAAATGGAAATTTAAATAAAAGGTCGAACACGTGCGTTCAGTGGGAAGTATTGACATGGGTGTTACATCACCAGCAGCCAATCAGATAGCTCCAGTCGTGTTTATACTTCTACAACCACCTTGTGAGTATTACAGTATGTCATAACGTTATAAATATTAGGCAGGGTTTTCCCCAAGAGTGGGGAGGAGTCGGCTCACACAGACGCTGCGTGCGACTCTGAAGAGCGTGTTTGTTAAGGCAAGAATTGATTTTTAAGACTTTGGGGTTTTTTTTTTTTTTTAACTGTTTACACTGCACATGGAATTTAGAGTGAGTAGAAGAACAGATGGAGCTGGAAATGAAACTCTTAGAATAATAATCGTAGTCTACTTGCTTAGAAAAAGATTTTCCAATTTGGAGCCCTTATACTCGTATTTTAAACTATTTTTTAATATGCTAAATTTAGCAAATTCTGAAGTGTTGAGATTCATTTTACTCTTTGAAACGTGAAATAAACTTTAAAAAACAAGTTTAAAAAAAAGCAATGTGAAACAAATTATTTTTATTCAAATTTATTTCGGATTAAAAAAAGATATTCTCAAACTATGGAGGAGCTTTTTACTCTTTTAATAAATATGTTAGAGGACTAAATGAAACAGTATATGTAACCGTAAAAATAACTCAGTAAATTACAGAAATTGAAACTGTATATTAAAAGGTTAATCACAAACATTCAAAATATGTTCAAGATAATTATTGAGTAGGGAAAAAAAGGACATGATACATTTTACATTAATGTATGTCAGGATGTGCATGGGGGAAAATGAGAAAAACACACAACTCTATAGATTATCATGTGTTAGAGGCTTTAATCTTTTATATATTAATGGAAAGTTATATGTATTTAATAAAGAACGTGTTACAACATGTGTTACAATATTTAGGCTCTCTAGTTTTATGATTCTGTTCTCTTCAGTAATTTCTATTTTTAAAATAAACAGCATTTTAAACTTTGAATATATCATGTGGAATAGGAATATGGCATTTTTTCAAGATTAACCTTAAAAAAAAGGTTATCCCAGACATATTATAAAATACTATTTGCCTTAATATTTTTGAATGGACTAAACGCATGCACAGCCATACCCATATATTGTATAGATTTATTCATATCAACTTTTACTTAATTCACTGTAATTTTAGTATCTGTAATGAATGAACAGTGTTGTATGTCAAACAAAAATTGTTAGTTCTCCCTTATAGATGAAATGTAATTTTAATGTAAAGAATGATAGTACTAACCTGCCACAAAGAGATTTTGGCTTTTAGTTATTTTGTTAGGTAATGATCAGATTGCTACATATCCATGTTGTCACCTGGTCACCGATGATAAACAGCCTGAAACTGCAATATAGGTCCTTAGATTGGTAGAGTTTGTAGATTTAAAAAAAATTTTGTCCTGCTTTGTTTTAGTTGTTGGAAAACTTAGGACAGTGGAATCTCTGATGACCTAATTTGTATGTTGGAGAAATGAGAGGATTCTGCCCACTTGGTTGTATGTATTATGTACTATATGGAAGAATGTTATAATAATGCGGTGCTTTGTCCTTAATGCATTTTTTAAAAATTCCAGGCACTTGCAAATAAATACATTATTTATTCAGTTTTAACTCTCACTCCCTTCTCCAGAAAAAGAGGCAAGAGTTATTGAAGTTAATCGCTTATCCAGGGTTAAGGTGATGGGGAGTGTTCTTAAGAATTTTTTATTTTGGCTTTAAAGCTTTTTTCCATTCCCAAACTGTTAAACTCATATCTTTGTTGTTGTTGTTTTCATCTTATTTACCTAGTACATAACAGGCAATATATATTTGTGCTAGTATGCTAGTTTTTTTTTCTCCTGATTCTGGTAGCATCAGAATCGCCAAAAATGCTTTACTCCACTAAGTTGTTAGTTGTGTCCAAACTGTATTTTTCTCAGACATGTAGCTTACCTTTGTTTTGGAAAATTCACATCATCTTCTCTCTGGAGATTTGGTTAAAAGTGCACTGATTAGGGATGAACAACACTTGATTCAAATAAATGACTTAAATGCTAGGGCCGCTGACCTCACAGCCAAACAGTGTGAGTGTATGATGTATGAGTGTGTGTATATTTTTATCATTATATATAAATATATATTCAGTTGTCTTCTTAACACTGAAGGAAGATCAAATCAGAAACAAAGTTCAAGAGGATAGTAATCCACAAATGTCTCAGAATACCCTGAACAAGGGAACTTTGAGTAACAGAAGGGGATCTCCTGTTCTGTAAATGGAGTTTTTAAGAATTCCCCCACCCCTTCCAGTCTCCTACTAGCAGGCAGGGATCTGTTCTCCCCTCTAGCCCCTATATTTGCTGTTGGGGTTCTACCATATTCAAGGGGATTCCCCCTCATGCTTACCAGGGGAACCCCTCCAGAATGGGGCATCCCCAGCCAATTTGTCCCCTAATTTCACTTTAGGCTGTGTAGAACTGCTGCAGGTTACCTTGATAACTCTTTCCCCTATAACTCTTTGACGAGGCTAAACTCTACCTGGTTCAGCTGATCTCTGATGATCAAACTTGACTATTTGTTGCCTTTGAGAGGCATTTTTGCCTCGACAGCCCTTTGCCTCTTTAGGTGCTAGGGACAATATGCTGTGATTCCGTATGTGGCACTGACATGTGTCATCCACTAGAATAAAGTCCCTGAGAATAGAGACTGTGTTATTCACTCTTACTCTCCCCTACCCCAACCCCAACCCAGCTCGAAGTAGGCAATTAGTAAATATTTATTGGATAATTATCTTCTCTCACAATCTGTTTTAGTAGGCCACTTTTCTTTTCTTTTGTCTTCTTTCCCTTAGATAACTAAAAAATATTCTTTTTGAAGATATTGACCCACTATTTCCATTGCATTTACATTAAAACCAACAACCATCATATGACATATAATGGAATATTATTCAGCCCTTAAAAAGAAGGAAGTCCAGCCATTTGCAACAATATAGGTGGACCTTGAGGACAATTATGTTAAGTAAAATAAGCCAGACACAAAGAGAAAAATACAATGAAATCCAGAATGAGGAATCTAGTGAAACTCATAGAAGCAGAAGGTGGGATGGTGCCACGGGCCAGAAGGAGAGGGAAATGAGAGACATTAGTCAAAGGTTACAGTTTCAGTTATACAAGATGAACAGTCTTCGAGATATATACTTAGTATAGTGTAGTGTCTATAGTTAACCTGTATTGTACACTCAAAAAGAGAATAGATTTTAAGTGTCCTTATCACAAAAATAAACTTGGGCAAGCTCTGGGAGATGGTGAGGGACAGGAAGGTCTGGCGTGCTGCAGTCCATGGGGTCGCAATGAGTAGGACACGACTGGGCAACTGAACAAACAAATCACACACAAAAAAACAAATAGAATGGGCAGTAGGAAACTTTGGAAGATGATGAAAATGTTTGTGGCACAGATAGTGGTAATGGTTTCACAAGTGTATGCTTATCTCCAGACTCATGAAGTTACATACATTAAATATGTACTGCTTTTCATGTGTCAATCATACCTTAATAAACTTAAGCAAAAGCAATGATAATAATGTAGTTCAATATAAATAACATTAGCACCATTTTCTATGTTGCCTACACTGAATTGCAATTTACACAACTTCCTTATGAGTTAAATTAGGGTAGGTACTATTCTCATTCAACAGATAAGGAAACGAAAAGGTCAGTTGACTTGCTTAAAGTTACTGGTTGAGGCAGACCTAAGCTGAATATAAAGGTAATACCCTCTAGCTTCCTGGTGGCTCAGACAGTAAAGCGTCTGTCTGCAGTGCTGGAGACCCGGGTTCGATCCCTGGGCCGGGAAGCTCCCCTGGAGAAGGAAATGGCAACCCACTCCAGTATTCCTGCCTGGAAAATCCCATGGACAGAGGAGCCTGGTAGGCTACAGTCCATGGGGTCGCGAAGAGGCAGACACGACTGCCGCTAGTCTAAAGCACCTTTAGCTACTAAAATACAAATGGTACACTTAACAATGTATCTGCATAATTGGAAGCTGTACTAAAATTTAAATGTGTTTATTGTTCAAATACTGTCATAGAAGAAAAAAAATTATTGTGTAAACACAGGCTTCCTTTTTTTGTGCATAGCCAAAAGAAAATTTTGGTGTTTATGAGTTGGACTTGGCCTCTTTTTTTGCTTTTAGTTTTTAATATGTTTTAATATGATTAAATTTTTTTGTATTTTAATGGGATAGATATACCATAATTGATATAACCAGTCTTCCATTGTTGAACATTTCATTGTTTACAGTTTTGGGGTTTTTGGCAATTATAAACAACTCTTCAGTGAATATTCTTGAAACTAAAGCTTTGCATCTTATTTCTCTAGAATAAATTCTAAAAGAATTTCTGGCAAAGGGAACCAACATTTTATAAAGTCCTGTACTAGCTACCTGATTGCCCTCCAGAAATGCTCTCAAAACTGTAAATAAAGTACCAAAAGAAAATGTTATTAGGATGGTATTTCTGTAATATTGGGGAGTGAAAGCTTTAATTCTAAGCAGAATACAAAGGCCAGAAACCTTAAAGGAAAAGATTGTCAGAACTGACTATATAAATTGTAAAACTTTTGTTTTCCAAAATCATAATAAAGATTTTTTATTAAACTAGGAAAAAGAGATCAGGCTATATATGACAGACAAAGGCTAATATCACTATCTCCAAAGGGTTGCCTTAAGTCAACAAGATAAACATACCTAGTAGAAGATTAAAAGAATGAGCAAAGGACATTTACTGGAAAATCATGTAAGAAGAAATACAAGTGACTAGTAAACTTATGAGAAGATGTGCAGAATTGGCCAGGTATCAGAGAAAAGTGCATAAAAAACTCCAGGAGGTGTGATTTTTTTTCAACCCACCAGAGGTATAAGAAAATGAATATAATCGGGAATGGAGGTAGGAATAACTTTCTGGTAGGCTCTTTGGCTGTATATATAAAAATGTAAAATGTGTATATATCTTTTTACCCAGCAACTTCAGTTCTAGGGACTTATCCCAGGCAACTGTTAGAATGTCTGTGCAAGGATGTTCATTGAATCACAAGGATTATAAACCTAAAAAACTTGAGCTTCCATCAGTGTGAGGTTATTTACATAATGACATGCCTATAATGATTATTGACCAGCTATTAAAAAGGTTGATGTGGTATTATGTAACCCAAGTCGTCTTATTAAGTGAAAAAGCAATAAGTATATTAACAAATATAATAGGAATGATTAATTAGTGCAATTCATAGCTACTGAACACTTACCTAGTCTTTATTAAGCCATGCTGCTGAGTACATGTAAGTTTGTGTGTGACTATAAGTATGAAAAGTGATTAAGAGGATGAACTCTCCATACTGTCTTATATACTGAAATTATAATTTATATTGAGTATGTAATTGGAAAAATAAAGCTAACACAGTTACCTCTGTATGTTTTCCCCCAGGACTTCTGGAAAATATTGTTCTTTCTTCTTTCGCTTCATTTATCTGTGAACCCATTTTACCCTGCCTCCAAAAAATAAACACAAAGAGTTAAAAGTTAAAAGATAAAAAACCAGTGATTCTTTCCTTAAAAAATTCCAAATCCCTTTAGAACATGATTTATTTTTGAAAAGCTTGTGTTTACATGCATATACATTCAGTGAAGCTTCTATCTCACCAAACTTTTTCTAGCCCTGCCCTCTAATCCCTTCTCACTGTGAAGTCAGTAATCTTTTTAAAATGCCAATCTGATTTTATCACCCCACCAACATTAAAACCCTACAAAGGCTTTAATTATTTTCTGTTGGTCTACATATCAAAACACGTGAGAGGCCTGCAGAGCCCAGCAAGGTCTGGCTGCCTTCCACTTCTCCAGCCTCACCTCTTCCTCTAACTCTCTCTTCCAAAAGCTAGACTCCTCCTGTCCTTCAGGTTCGCTTTGATTTCTGTCTGGCCTTTGCACTGTTCCCTGTCTAAACACTCTTCCTTCCCTTCTTCTCATCAACCCACGTTCACTCTTACATCACTTCCTCAGGGCGGCTTTCCCTGACCACCCACACTCCCCAACATTCATATATCCTGTTGCAGGTTCTCCCAGCACTTTTTCATCTCTCTTTCACAGCATTTGTCACAACTGCAGTTTTTAAAGTGTTAGTCGCTCAGTTGTGTCTTTTTGTGACTCCATGGACTAGCCCACCAGGCTCCTTCCTCTGTCCATGGAATTTTCCAAGCAGAAATACTGGAGTTGCCATTTCCTTCCGTGGGGGATCTTCCCAACCTTGGGATCGAACCTGGGTCTCCTGCATTGCAAGCAGATTCTTTACTGTCTGAATCACCAGGGAAGCTCTATGTTGTCCAAATCGCAGCTTTTAAATGTGTATAATTATTTGATTATCACATACTCCTCCAATAAACTGATAGCTCCATGTGAGCGAGGACCGTTCTGGATTTGCTCAATATTGTGTGTTCAGTATCTAAAAGCAGTGGCTCTGACATAGAGAATCAGGAAGAATTTGTCAAATGAATCAACAGTATATCAGTGTGCAGATTGGCAGGCACTAGGTACTTACAACCTTGAACTTTCAACAAAAGACTAAAACAGATTTTTTACTGAATAAGCTGGTAGAACGGAAATATGGTCGGTTTTAAGTGTTGGTAATATTTGCATATTACACAATGCAAGGTATTTCCATAAAATATACAGTTGTAGAAAGGTTGTTTGGAAATTGAAAAAAATTAAAACTAGTGAGTGATAATTTCAATTTAAGCTGCAAGATCATTAAAACATATGCAAAACTACTTTATCTGTGAAGTTACGCTTTTAATTTAAATTCTAAATCGAATGGTGGTGGTTGGTGGTGCTCAGTTTTGTGTGGCCCTTTGCGACCCCATGGGCTGTGGCCACTAAGCTCCTCTCAGTGGGATTTTCCAGGCAAGAGCACTGGCGTGGGTTGCCATTTCCTTCTCCAGACCTTCCAGACCCAGGGATGGAACCCAAGTCTCTTGTATCTCCTGTATTGGCTTGTAGATTCTGTATCACTGTGCCAACTGGGAAACCCAGATTTAATGATTGCTAACCCTTATGGCAGAAAGCGAAGAGGAACTAAAAAGCCTCTTGATGAAAGTGAAAGAGGAGAGTGAAAAAGTTGCCTTAAAGCCCAACATTCAGAAAAATAAGATCAATGGCATCTGGTCCCATCACTTCATGGGAAATAGATGGGGAAACAGTGGAAACAGTGTCAGACTTTATTTTTTGGGCTCCAAAATCACTGCAGATGGTGATTGCAGCCATGAAATTAAAAGACGCTTACTCCTTGGAAGGAAAGTTATGACCAACCTAGATAGCATATTAAAAAGCAGAGACATTACTTTGGCAACAAAGTTCCATCTAGTCAAGGCTATGGTTTTTCCAGTGGTCATGTATGGATGTGAGAGTTGGACTGTGAAGAAAGCTGAACGCTGAAAAATTGATGCTTTTGAACTATGGTGTTGGAGAAGACTCTTGAGAGTCCCTTGGACTGCAAGGAGATCCAACCAGTTCATCCTAAAGGATATCAGTCCTGGGTATTCATTGGAAGGATTGATCCTGAAGCTGAAACTCCAATACTTTGGCCACCTCATGTGAAGGGTTGACTCATTGGAAAAGACCCTGATGCTGGGAGGGATTGGGGGCAGGAGGAGAAGGGAATGACAGGGGATGAGATATCTGGATGGCATCACCGACTCGATGGACATGAGTTTGAGTAAACTCCGGGAGTTGGTGATGGACAGGGAGGCCTGGTGTGTTGCAATTCACGGGGTCGCAAAGAGTTGGACACAACTGAGCGACTGCACTGAACTGAACTGAACCCTTTTGTGGTTGGAGTGTCTTTATTCTAATTAATCACAGATAGGAGTTAGTTCACTCTAATCTCAGAGAGATGAAGTAAAAAGTAAAATGCCTCTTTTGTGTATGTGAATTGTAAAAAAAATAAGTTCTTTTTACAATATGAATTTTTAGGCTACAAAGGATGAGAACAATGGGGTAGGAGGTTGACACTTATTTTTATTGAAAACTGAATTATAAAACCACATATGGATTACTGATTTTGTAGAAGATCCATCCCAAATATTTAGTTTACAGATACTGTTTGGTTCACAGACCTTCTAGGCTGATTAAATAACTAGACTCTGCTCAGTAGCCATACATTCCACACTAATCCACCTCTTTCATAAATTTATAAATGCAAACCGATTACCTTTAGAAGGGTCAGGTGAGGAAGCATGGAAGGCAGAAAGATGCCAAGGCCATAACGTACAATGCCATAAACAAATACCTAAAGTGGGACTTTCTACACCACTGCAGGCAGCAACTCTTAGGAGTCTTACATTCCAAATAAGGTAACTCCCTTCTCCCAGAATCTGGAGGTAATGTCAAGGTCAGAAAATACCACACTTTGAAACTACAGCAGAGAGAATCAATATCAATCATGAGGTCAGTTTTTACAAAAGAAACATACCATCCCAAAGCTGTGATTAGGGTATCTTCAAGATTGAGGGTACATCCCAGGATTGGAATGTAACTACTTCAAAGAAAACACTAATGCTTTCAGGTCTAGTCCAGTGACCTTCAAACTGGGGTGTGCTTAGCTCTAGAGGTATACACTGAATTTCCAAGGGATATGTAAGCACGTAGGGCTTCCCTGGTTGCCCAGTTGGTAAAGAACCCACCTCCAATGTGGGATACCTGAGTCCGATCCCTGGGTTGGGAAGATCCCCTGGAGGAGGGCATGGCAACCCGCTCCAGTATTCTTGCCTGGAGAATCCCCGTGGACAGAGGAGCCTGGTGGGCTGCAGTCCATGGGGTCGAAAAGAGCTGGACTCAGCTGAGCTACTAAGCTCAGCACATGTAAGCACTTAAGTCAGGCTTTCAACTTCCACACATTCATTTTCCAAAACTGAACTGCTGGAGATCTCTCCTCTCAAACTGGTTTCCCTTCCCACCTGCCTTTGCCCAGTCACCCTGCTTTCACGGCACTGAAAGGGGCAAATCACCCACTCATCCCTGATCTTCTTATATCATTTTATATTGCCCCAGGATGGAAAAGGAGCACCAGAGACAAGCTGAAAAAGTGAATGTCCCTAATTATTTGGTAGCCACACTTTTGCAGCGCTAATAGTTTCCAGCTTTTGCTTTCAACAGAACTGAAGAAGACCCTAATTGAAGTGTCAGTTGGTCATTAAAAATAATCTCCTGCAATAGATCACAAGGATTTTTTTTTTGCATGTATCTTGTTCAGTTGCTCAGTCGTGTCTGACTCTTTGTGACCCCATGAAATGCAGCACGCCAGGCCTCCCTGTCCCTCACTATCTTCTGGAGTTTGCCCAAGTTCATGTTCATTGAACTGGTGATGCCATCCAACCATCTCATACTCTGTCACCCCCTTCCTTTCCTGCCCTCAGTCTTTCCCAGCATCAGGGTCTTTTCCAATGAGTCAGATCTTTGAATCACATGGCCAAAGTATTGGAGATTCAGCTTCAGCATCAGTCCTTCCAATGAGTATTCAGGGTTGATTTCCTTTAGGGTTTTTTTCTTTTTAATTATTACGTATTTGGTTGTGCCTGATCTTAGCTATGATATGAGGGACTTTTTTTAGTTGCGGCATGTGGGCTCTTTGGTTGCCACATGTGAACTCTTGGTGTGGCATGTGGGCTCTAGTTCCCTGACCAGAGATTGACCCTGGGCCCCCTGTTTGGGAGCATGGAATCTTAGCCACTGGACCACCGGCTGGCTTGGTCTCCTTGCAGGACTCTCAAGAGTCTTCTCCAGCATCGCTGTTCAAGAGTTTAAAGAACGTTGTGATGTAGTTAAAACTCTTTCTATTCCCATCATCCATAATTTTTTTGTGAATAAATGTTCTCAACACATATTCAAAAGAAGAAAAAAAGGAATAAAATGTATGACAAACCCTTTTTCACTCCGTGTCCAGCCACTCAGTCATATCTGACTGTTTGCAACCCCATGGACTGTAGCCCACCAGGCTCCTCTGTCCATGGAATTTTCCAGGCAAGAATACTGGAGAAGGTTGCCACTTCCTTCTCCAGGGGATCTTCCTGACCCAGGGATCAAATGTATATCTCCTGCATTGGCAGGCAGTTTCTTTACTACTGCACTACCTGGGAAGCTAGGAAACAAATTATTGGTACATTAATTAATTGAAAAACTTTGGTTAATTAAGAAATGTATTTCCAAAAGAAAAAAAAATGCTCTCCCAATAATGTTTATATTTAATATCAATATATTTGTTACTTTGACCAAATGTGCACACTAATAAAATAGTACCTCATTTCAGGATATTTTACAACATTTAAGGGTCATACATAGATATTTTTTTAAATTAAATTTAAAAGAACCTGCTTGCCAATGCAGGACACGTAAGAGACATGGGTTCGATCTCTGGGTCAGGAAGATCCCCTGGAGAAGGGAATGGCAACCCACTCCACTATTCTTGCCTGCAGAATCACATGGACAGAGGAGCCCGACT